TCCTAGTAACACAATGTGTGCCTTTACCTATCCTAGCAACACAATGTGTGCCTTTACCTATCCTAGCAACACAATGTGTGCCTTTACCTATCCTAGCAACACAATATGTGACTACCTATCCTAGCACCACAATATGTGACTACCTATCCTAACACCACAATATGTGACTACCTATCCTAGCACCACAATATGTGACTACCTATCCTAGCACCACAATATGTGACTACCTATCCTAACACCACAATATGTGACTACCTATCCTAGCACCACAATATGTGACTACCTATCCTAACACCACAATATGTGACTACCTATCCTAGCACCACAATATGTGACTACCTATCCTAACACCACAATATGTGACTACCTATCCTACACCACAATATGTGACTACCTATCCTAACACCACAATATGTGGCTGTACCTATCGTAGCCTCACAACGTGCGTGACTGTCACTGTGAGAGGCACACAATGACGCTGGCGGAGGAACACGGAAGCAAAACTAGAGGAAGCCGGAGCCGGAACTGTGAAGGGGTGGACATTCGGACCCAGTGTGCAGGGGGAGGGAGGGGGGGGGGAGTACCGTGTTTGGTGGGGGTGGGGGGGGGGGAGGGGGGCTGGACGATTGGAGACGTGTACTCGACTAGATGTACTAGCCTGCTTGTGCTCGACTAGATGTACTAGCCTGCTTGTGCTCGACTTGATGTACTAGCCTGCTTGTACTCGACTAGATGTACTAGCCTGCTTGTGCTCGACTAGATGTACTAGCCTGCTTGTGCTCGACTAGATGTACTAGCCTGCTTGTGCTCGACTTGATGTACTAGCCTGCTTGTACTCGACTAGATGTACTAGCCTGCTTGTGCTCGACTTGATGTACTAGCCTGCTTGTGCTCGACTAGATGTACTAGCCTGCTTGTGCTCGACTAGATGTACTAGCCTGCTTGTGCTCGACTTGATGTACTAGCCTGCTTGTGCTCGACTAGATGTACTAGCCTGCTTGTGCTCGACTAGATGTACTAGCCTGCTTGTGCTCGACTAGATGTACTAGCCTGCTTGTGCTCGACTAGAAGTACTAGCCTGCTTGTGCTCGACTTGATGTACTAGCCTGTTTGTGCTCGACTTGATGTACTAGCCTGCTTGTGCTCGACTAGATGTACTAGCCTGCTTGTGCTCGACTAGATGTACTAGCCTGTTTGTGCTCGACTTGATGTACTAGCCTGCTTGTACTCGACTAGATGTACTAGCCTGCTTGTGCTCGACTATATGAACTGCCTGCTTGTACTCGACTAGATGTACTAGCCTGCTTGTGCTCGACTAGATGTACTAGCCTGCTTGTGCTCGACTAGATGTACTAGCCTGCTTGTGCTCGACTAGATGTACTAGCCTGCTTGTGCTCGACTAGATGTACTAGCCTGCTTGTGCTAGATTAGTTGTACCAGTTTAATTATGTCCTGTTGATCCCCATCTGCCAAACATAAGGGTTGCCTAGACGAACCCAGGGTCCTGCATCCCATCTTGAGCTTATCTTGAGATGATTTCGGGGCTTAGTGTCCCCGCGGCCCGGTCCTCGATCAGGCCTCCACCCTCAGGAAGCAGCCCGTGACAGCTGACAAACTCCCAGGTGCCTATTTACTGCTAGGTAACAGGGGCATAGGGTGAAAGAAACTCTGCCCATTGTTTTTCGCCGGCGCCCGGGATTGAACCAGGGACCACAGGATCACGCGTCCAGTGTTCTGTCCGCTCAACCACCGGCTCCACCAGCTCCCATGGCTGTACAAGATGCACAACAACGCGGTGGATTGTACAAGGTAGGCACAATGACGTGAGCTGCACAGGGGCACACAATGTGGATCGTACAAGGCACGTACAAGGGCTCAGGTTGCACAAAAGTGCACACTACGGTGTGGGGTGTACAAGGCGCATACAGAGAGCGAGGGGTAACAGGATCCACCACCCCCCCCCCCCCCCTCTCCTCCCAACACCTGCACTAAGAATCCCCAAACCTTACACCTCATGTCCGCCGCCTTCCCAATGTGTCCTTACCTTGAGGTTACCTTGAGGTGCTTCCGGGGCTTAGCGTCCCCGCGGCCCGGTCATCGACCAGGCCTCCTGGTTGCCGGACTGATCAACCACGCTGTTAGACGCGGCTGCTCGCAGCCTGACGTATGAGTCACAGCCTGGTTGATCAGGTATCCGCGTCAGGAAAGGTATGTGTCTGCATAGTATTCTTCGTTCAAATGGACTTTAGCCTATTTTGACTAGACTACCGCATAGTTTCGTTCTTCTGTTTCTCTCTCTCTCTCTCTCTCTCTCTCTCTCTCTCTCTCTCTCTCTCTCTCTCTCTCTCTCTCTCTCCTCTCTCTCTCGATCCGCTCTCTCTCCTCTTCTCTCTCTCTCCTCTCTCTCTCCTCTCTCCTCTCTCTCTCTCTCTCTCTGTCTCTCTCTCTCTCTCTCTCTCTCTCTCTCTCTCTCATTTTCGAGTTATCTCACTTCGCCTGTCTTTCTCTTTCCGCCTTGTCTCGCCCTCCTTCCTCTCCTAGATAAGCGAGAGGGCCACGAGAGGTGTCGGGGAGGTCAGGGGGGCACAACAGAGCCATGTTTCATGGCTCCACCTCCCTCCACTTGTAGAGGCGCCCTTCCCTACCCCCGCCCACTCGGGCTTCAAAACAAGGCTCTCAAATTCTTCTAAGGGAAAGGGGGAGCGGAGACTGATTCGTGGGAGTTGATAATAGATCCTTTCAGTTAACATTTATGAATGGTTTAATGTTCCTTTTATGATTAACGTATTTTGGATTTTTTTTTTTTTAGGAATAAGTTGTTGGAAGTTTGTTTTCTTTAGCACAAAATGATCATTTTAGTCGAGGTGGTTGTGAGCTCTAGTTGCCATGACCATTACCACAGTGGTGCCATGACCATTACCACAGTGGACCACTTAGCGTCTCGAAGCTGCGTCTCATGATCTTCCTTTTGGTTGTTGCCGCCGGAGGCGCAAGTTTATTGTGCACCCCATACTCACCCTGTGAGCGGTAGCGCACAAAGCATTACAGAGGGCACAAAAAGGTCTTTAGCAGACATCAGAGGAGATGATTACATTAACAATTTCATCTATCCTTCACACCTTATAATTACAATGTCAGCTAGTTATGGAAAATGTTCTATTTCAAGAATTATATGTTTACAGTAAATCATTACACATTAATGGTAGGTCTTATCGCTAATACATAATTGTTTGAGCAATGGAAATATTACAGTCATAGGGGAGCTGATGTTTATTACTAGTCTTCACAATACACTACGTGTTTCTTAATCTCATATGTCGTTTGTCTACTGGAAGCGAAATATGGATACAGTGCAAGGATTTCAGGTATTTTATCCTTTGTAATAAGATGGCTTGCCTTTTCATACAACGTGAGTTTAGATTTATCTCTAAATGGCTCAATTTTACTACAGTCCAAGATATGGTGTTCGAGTGTGTGTCTCTGTCTTTGTTCACACTTTACACTTTACTTCATCTAGATCCCTATACAAGCCGAACTGCCAGAGATACTTGTAGCCAAGTCTTATTCGAGCTGTGACAACGTCTATTAGTCTACTGACTTTGTTACTTGCTCCATACACATGTTTTACTTCACACATTTCATTGTAATGAACAATTGACATGCTAGTTCCAGTTTGCACAGTTATGCTTTCTTCAAATTCATCTAAGTGTTCTCATTTAATGACACTTTTAAGGGACCTATTTGATAACCAAGATTCCGTTTAATACTGTCTATATTTACTGCAGCCTTAGCAAGGGCGTCAACTTATTATGTTTCCTGTAGGCCAATGTGAGAAGGAATCCACAACATTTCGATCCCCCCTGGTGTTGGGTGTCCTGCATCCCCTCATTTCTCTTATGTAGGTTGTACTGACCTAGTTATATTTGTGTGGGATGAACCCCGGCTCTTGGGTTCCGCCTCTGATCTCTTTCATCTTCCTAGTGTATTTTTTTCTGCGTTCCTTCGTCTTTCACAGTCCTTGCTCAGGAATGGGAGTTACGGAGGCAGGTGTAGGATGCAGGTGGGGGTAGCTGGTAGAATTAGGTGAAGTTAGTGTAATAGGTGTAGACTCAAGTTAGAGAAAGTTGGTATAGAGAGATTAGAAAGATGACAGGTGTGTGTGTGTGTGTGTGTGTGGGTGTGTGTGTGGGTGTTGTGTGTGTGTGTGTGTGTGTGTGTGGTGTGTGTGGGTGTGTCTGTGTGTGTGGTGTGTGGTGTGTGTGTGTGTGTGTGTTGTGGGTGTGTGTGTGTGTGTGTGGTGTGTTGTGTGTGTGGTGTGTGTGTGTGGTGTTGATTAAGGAAAGATTAATTGTATGAGGACATGTTCTTCAGAACACGTGTGCCAAAGGACGAAACGAGGCGAACTGGCCCGCCGGACAATGGAAGCAACTGACCGAGGCGGAAGGTGTTTTGGACGGCTGTACAACACATGGAACTGACCGAGTCGGAAGACTTGCTAACCAGCCGGACGACGAAGAGAACTGGCCGAGACGGACAGCGTACTGGCCAGCTTTCTAGCGGCTCGCAGTGTGTTGCGCCCTCAGCTGACTACCTCAGTAGCGCCGCTGCTCGGGTTCCTGGAGGCTGGACCGTTCAATTAGTCATTAACTCTCAGTTATCGTAATACATTTTGGTCCTCGTGGCAACGGTTGTCTTATAGTCAGTAGTCCTCTTCGTGCCCCTGGTCTTGCCATGGGAAGGTTGTTAGATTTCCTGTTGCCACAGAAGATAAGGTGGGAGAGAGAGAGAGGGACACAGATAGAAAAACTGAGAGATAGACATATACGTGCATGCATATGTATACCTAGCACCAGAGAGAGAGAGAGGAAGAGCTTGTGCTCTCTCCCGGAAAACTCCCTAAACATTCCCCCACCCCCTCGGGAACACCAACATCATCCCCTCTCTCTCCCTCCCCACCACGACGGCCGCTGCCAGGGCCACTCCGACCCTCCCAGCTCAGTTGACGCGTGACCGTGGTGGGGAGTGGTGTGCGTGGCCTCGGTCTGCCGGCACCTCTGTGAGACCCGGACAGCGTTGGTGTGACCTATTGAAGCCCAGGTGGTGGGATATCGCCTTACCTGGGATGCTGCTGCAGGTAGCCCCAGCCACCATGGATGCGCGACGCCCCTCTTGACTGGGCAAGATGTCGCTGTTCGGTACGTAACGCCTGATTTGGGAATTGGAAATTTGGAGGGTACTCGGTGTTAATAATGCTGGCGTTATCCGGACGAAGGGGAGGAGGGTGCCGTCGGGTCATAAGAGGGTTGGTTGTCCAACTGCTGCTGCTACACCATGCTGCGCTCTACTGCGGCAACACCTCGTCTACACCCCCCTACAACTCCCCCACACATACACTCACCACAACTCCTACACACATCCCCCCACACAACCCCCCCCCCCACACATGCACTCACCACAACCCCCACACCCCAAACAATACCTCAAACATACACACACAACCCCCAAAACAAGTACACTTCAACCCCCCCCCCCACACACACACATACATTTCACAATCACCCCCACAACACCACCACCCTCACTCATACACCCCACAGCCCCCCCCCCTCTCATACACTCAACACCCCCCGTGCATACATCATACAACCCACCTCCACACATACACCCCAGAACACCCCACACGTACACCCCATAACAATCGGACGTTATGCTCCCCCCCTCCCACCCCCACCCACAAACATACACACAATAGTATATTGAACAAATGAAATGCGTTAAGAAGTGCAATGATGGAGCTTTATTCACTCCATTCACAGCTTTAAATGTCCAATAGATCCTGCATCCCATACACAAGTCAGTTAAGGTTGAGAATCGGAACCCAGGAGCCGTAGCTAGCCACCACAAATACTACTAGCTGAGTGCAATTAAGTCTCATACTCTTGACACACTCACTCACTCACTCACTCACTCACTCACTCACTCACTCACTCATCACTCATCACTCATCACTCACCACTCACTCACCACTCAACACTCCACACACACCACTCACACACACACACACACTCACACTCTCTCTCTCTCTCTTCTCTCTCTCTCTCTCCTCTCATCTCTCTACTCTCTCTCTCTCTCTCCTCTCTCTCTCTCTCTCTCTCTCCTCTCTCTCTCTCTCTCTCTTTTTTTTTCCCCCTCCCCACGTAACCTGACTTTGGATAGATCTCTATTCATGTTGACCCGGTATTTCCCCCTGCTGTAGTGGCTGGTCCAGATCCTCTGCAGCAGCAGCAGGAGGAGGAGGTCAGTGACAGGCACTCCTGTAGGACTCTCCAGCCCGTTAGCAAAACAAAATTTAAGTGGCCTTTACATATTAGTAATAGCAATCCTCTGGTCCGCAATGACGGTAGTTTTTTAAGCGTCACATCTGCCTGTGTAGTTCACCAGGTTCATCTATATTTTTAGGGACTAGGTTAAGGCAAGTTGTCCGTTAGCACAGCTGGGATCAGAGTGGTAGTACACTACCACTATGATCCCAGCTGTGCTAAGGTTAGGTTAGGTCTGGCTAGGTTATGATAAGTCTAGCTAGGCTAGGTTATGATAAGTCTAGCTAGGCTAGGCTAGGTTAGGTCTGGTCCAAATTATATAAAAAAATTTGCCCTCTAGCACCAGTCGGTTTACAACTGTGTCCAAATATGATATAATCTTCTGGCTATTTAATAATTAACTATTTCACAAACTTACATCTCTTAGATCCAACAGTAGTTTATATGGCATAAATTGATTCTTTTGGTAGCCTCGTAAGTTTAACCGTTCTCACACTCAACACATATTATTTGGTGGCTCAAAATATCCTTGTTTCATCACAAAGACCAACCGTGGTCATGACACCCTTCATATGAGGCACAACCACCACCACCTATCCCTTGAAGTGCTACCATCTAACCCTTGAAGCACCACCACCACCTTCCCCTTGAAGCACCTTTCAATGTGGCTTGTGGTGGAGGTGGGGGGAAGCAGATTGTGTGCTCTGATGACCTGGGGTCAAGTCTTGTGTCTTGTAAAGCTGTTCGTTTAGCAAAGGATATGAGATAGACTATTCTGTTCTCAAGAGGGGCTCATCATACAAAGATTAACTCAATATTGTGTTATGAAGCGTCAGTGCCCTCGTCCAGATAAAGTGTGCAGCATTGCGAGACATGGCGGTGCATCCCACCTAACATGGACTGCCTTATCTCAGCTCCTGGAAGCAGCCCAACTAACAGGGACTGAGTTGTCTCATAAGCCACTCACTAGCATAAGGGTGCGCGGCATTCCTTCACAAATGTCAATATCTCCCTGAAGACGGCAACGTACATATCAGAGCCAGGTTTGACCCGGTGATGTGTACATGTGGAGTCTTCCAATATATGTTTAGAGCGTTTACCCGTATTTGGTGGCTGGTATCTTGCATTACCTGTCGAATGATGCCGTGTCAGATGTGCGTCTACCACATATGGCGGCAGGCATTATGCATGATAGTAAATACAAAGCCAGTCTCAGGGTACATGCCACAGGTACTATATATGTGTCACAGCCACCTGGATATATATAGAATATATATTTTTATATATATATATATAAATATATATATATTATATATATAATAGATATATATATATATGTGTATATATATATCTATATCTATACTAATATATATATATATATATATATATATATATATATATATATATTCCGTTTGTCGAAGGCGGGAAGCCTGAGTATACTTCAGATATAGTTTAGGCTTGTATCGAGGCTTCCCCTCCACCTAAGGTCGAACTACTGACCTTCCCCAGGATACAACCTTAAGGTCCCCGTTGACTGCCAGATGAACAGATGCAGTAGGGGGAAAAGAGATGTGCTCGACCATTTCTGCCACGCCCGGGAACCGAACCCCCGGATCCCCGGCTGTGAGTCGAGAGCCAAGGTTCGGTTAGGTATGTTCATGAAATCAGTTGACGAAGCACTTGTGTACGAAGCGACTTATATTCGGCAGATCGGGTACAACTTATATTGCAGTTCTCTTTAGAATTAATATTGGTTAACTGCGCTAAGCAACTGATGAGTGTATTTGATTTTAAACAGATTCGTTTCCCTAAGAATGTAAGTTGAAAAAAGAATGTAGTGTGTGGCATTAAGAGAAACTTGCGGTTTGTGTAGACAGATAGCAGCGCTTGAGAGAGTCGTTGACGATTAACCAAGCGTGAGATGTTAATTACATTGTTAATGACGGGGGCAGTTATTTTAATAGCGTCTTTTTATATTTAGAGAGCGAGACATAAAAGGCACTAGCCAAGTAGGGCGCTAGCGACCAAGAGAGTTAGCGAGCTAGGCTACGAGGGCGCTAACGACCAAGAGGGAAGCGAACTAGGCTACGAGAGTGCTAACGCTCGACAGGGAAGCGAACAAGAGCAAAAGAGAGAGAGCTAACGAGAGGACAAGTTTGCTAAGGAGCTAGTTGAGGGGGTACAATAAGCACGGGAGTGAACGAGAGGGAACTGAGTAGTGCTGAAGGAAACCTTAGTGATCAAGCCTAATATCGAAACCTGAAGTGTTCTCTCCCCTCCCCCCCCCCCGATGACATTAATGAAAATAGTTCCAAAGTTACTTAATACTCTTTTTTTTCTCTGGCAATGATATTTCGTTAATCTAAAACGTGGCTAACATGTTTAAGAGTTGCTGTTTAATATCTTGGAAGAAGCTAGGCTTTTTACACACCTTTGGCAGAAAATATGGGTGTGACAACACTAGCAATCAAGGAAGGGCGGAAAAATTCCTGTGGCTTGCCTCTCACGTGGCTGGATGGTTTATGGAACAAATTACTGGGTAAGTTATAGACGGAGGATCACGCCATTGTTTCAAGCGTTGCTTAGACATTTATATAAATGAGTTTTGGATATACATAGGAGCTGTCTCGTATGGGGCAATAGGCGTTTTGCTCTTATAGTCTCATGTAAGCTTCCACCTGAGTGGTGGGTGCTATCAACTAGGGCGGGGGGGGGGAGGGGGCTGTCTACCGTGGTCGTTAAGGTCACTGTGGTAAAGACGAGAGTAATTACCGGTGTTAACCTCAAAGCCCACTTGACTATTAAGCTAATTACTTAATTTGGTGACTTGAAGGAACAGTGTAGTGTTGAATATAAGTGTTATGAAGTTCCTTATTCGAACTTTAAACTCCAAACTTTCCAAGATCGGAACATCGGTGAATCGGGAATGCAGAAAAGTGACTCAGGTCTTCCAATTACAGAAGTCTTCTTATTACAAATCTTCCAATTACAGAAACAAATGACCATCTGCTCAATTGAATCACGAGACCATGAAGGGGCTATGAGAACATATTAAAGTCGTTCTGCAACAGTTCAGCTGTTCTTCTTGGGGTGATCATGAGCTCTCCAGTGTTCTGTTCGGTCATGAGTCTAGAGGGGTCGACTCCTTCCCACTTGTGGTCGTGGGAAGGAGTAGAGAGGAAAGCCGAGAGAAACAGGCGTCCTAGCCTGTCGTCGTCTGTTATAGAACACGTCCTCAAGCCAAGCTCCTGGGTTAAGCCCCTGGGTTAAGCCCCTGGGTTCCTCTCCGCTACTACGAAGGCTCCTCCCCCAAGCCTGTTCTTCAGCTCTACCAATTTCCCGCTCGGCCCACTGGCTGTCTTTTCTGTGTTTATTGATTGATTGATTGATTGATTATATATAGGCGTGTGTTGTATGATGTATAATGTATTACGTTTAGGCGTGTGTTTATTTGTCCGTTTGTTATCTATATTAAAGCAAGACCGCAGTGGACCAGCCAGGGGGGCCGACCCAGGCTCCACTTGTTGACGCAGCCTAGCGTCGCGCTCCTCCCTGACCAGGTGGAGAATATTATTTTTTTCCCCTTTAATTTCCCGAGCTGGAGTAAAGCTCCCGAGAGAGAGGGGGTTTAAACTGGCCACAAAGTTTGGAAATATTCATTAAAAGTTTGTTTGAATAGACCTTTCCTCCCCTCCCCCCACCCCCCATTCTCTCAATCCTTCCCTCCCCCCCTATACCCACTCCACCAAAGCACCACTCGGCCACCCACACCCCCCCCCCCCCCACCCTTGCAGGTACAGCAATGTGTGGTGGTGCGGGATGGCGGCCCGTGTGGGTACCAGGTACACACTTCCTGGGGTGTGAGGGTACCAGGT